CCAGCTTGTGACTTTAATGCTGCTATTGTGAGCGTGGTATTTATGTGAGGGTTTTATATTACTCCAGACTCTAATGTTAATAATCACATCATGATATTGAAGTGATTAATTTACAAAGTCCTTGTCAAATTTCAATCTGCTGCATTGTGTGACATGAATAAATGACTTTAGAAGAGATACTTCACTTTAAAAAAAAAAAAGAAAGCAGGGAAGAAAGAAAGAACAAGCTGTTGTTTTGTTAGAGAGAAGAGCTTTTCAGTTCCAAAATGTAGATTATTTATACTCATCTGCAAATTTTGTTATTAAAGACACAATAAGGGCATGACAGTAAGAATAAAAACTGTTGCAGCAGTATAGTTGGATTTCTTTAAATTGACATTAGTAATGTGTTGCAGCCATAGGTGAACAGAGTTAATGCCCTTCGGTTTCCCAGCTGAAGGATCACAGGCATTTCTTCATCGCCGAGATATTTCTGCAGCCGCAAAGCTCGGTTTTGTGTCAGCTCCAGTGTCATGGCGGATTTCAAAGTGTGCTCCTGCCCTCCCCAAGCGCATTAGCATTTCTCCTCTCCCCCCACCACTCTTTTTTTTCTTTTTCTCCCCCCCCACCCCACCCCCTTCCACAGTCTTCCCTCTGATGTCACACCGAAGCTCAGACATGTTAACACAAACCTTCATGCTAACACAGTTCAGTCTGTCACTGGAGAATATTCTTTTACCTGCTTCTGGAGCAAAGGAAGACTTTTTCATTTTCGCTGTCTCCGTTTACAATAGATCAGAGGCCTCTGCTGCACCGCTGAACTCCTGAACTCCTGTATACATTACTAATGAACCTCTGGATTGTTATACAGTCATATGTTAACAGGAAAGACAGGGGCGCACTCTCTCTCTCTTTCGGTGTGCGTGTGTATGTGAGACCAATGCATTACTGTCATGAAGGTTTCTTGGCCTGGGCCTGCTCTAATTGATAGGGGCTGCTGGTATTTACTTACATTCTCTGGGCGGATTAAATCTCAAAGGAAAGGGGAGGTTGTTTTTCTCCTGGCTTTGTTTTAATATCAATGCTTTTGAGTGTGTGTGTGTGTGTGTGTGTGTGTGTGTGTATTTTTGTCATCCCATGTGGTTCTGCATTTGTCCTTTCTCCATGACGAGAACTGTCCAATCCTGTAAAGCTGCATGCCGCCCAGGTACCACAGAGCACCAAATCTAATCAGCTGCTACAGTCAAATGTACACGCTACTTTGCTGGTTTCGTTTGTTTTTTGTTTGTGTGTGTGTGTGTGTGTGTGTGTGTGTGTGTGTGTGACATTGTCATTTACTGCACACAGTCAATAGTAAATATCATTAACTCTGTGGCTACTTTTTAATTTGTTCAGTGTGTTTAATATGCAGTCGAGGTCTGCCTGGATAACTGAGACACTTCATATGCTACAGTGTATCAGAGCAAAGCTGAGGTCTCCCAGCTGAGGCAGTGGAAGAAGGGACAGAAGCAACAAATAGCAAATGCTGACTGAGTGCAAAGGACATGCAAGAAAATGTAAGTCGAAGGCTAGATTCAGATTTCTGGTTGAATACTGCGGACACAAGCAACTGGTCAGACTGTAGTCAGTAGACCAGAATCAGGCACTGGGATAGACTTCATATCTCGATATTTTTTAGCTGGATGGCGATATAAGATATATATCTCGATATTTTTTTTTAAAGCCATAAAGTAAGAACAAAAAGAGAGTTCTTAGTCAAAGCTGTGTCCCAGATGTCACACAGGCACTTTTATTAACATACAGCATAGATGTACATGAAAAATTACTCAAAAATAAATTATGAGCATTTATTAAATAATAATGCTCCATAAATAAAAGAAAACAATGTTGTTTTTGTGCATAACAAAAGCTCACAATTGTGCAGTCAAAATGTAAACTAAAAGACGCTGAGCATAATAACAAAGACAGACAGATTTCACAGCTGCTCTGTTCCCAAGTTCTACTGCGTGACTGACAGCCTGGAGTTTGAAATCCTTCGTAACCACGTCTCTTAACAGGTGCCATTTATGGTCCTTATACACACACAATACGGTAATATTACGTTGAAGCACAGTACGTATTACTCGCGAGGCTCCTCGGTAGCTGTAATGCTCCGACAATCCATCAAGCGTGCAGCTCCAAGTCGTACCAAAACATTTTTTGACAGATTGCTGAGCGCCGTGTACCACATAAAATCGGTTCGCGGTCAGTAGCACAACCAGAATTCATACATAAGGCGCACTGTCATTTTGAGAAAATGAAAGGATTTTAGGCCGTGCAGCAGTGTTGCCAACTTAGCGACTTTGTCGCTATATTTAGCGAGTTTTCAGACCCCTTAGCGACTTTTTTTCTAAAAAAAAGGCTAAAAAAGAGACGTGAAAGCGCGTATCGCTTTTACTCTCAACAAGCAGCGGGTGCTGTAACGCAGTCAGTTCTTCTTTTACTCTTTTACTCTTATGCTGTTTTGTGGATCACAAGGTTTAAAACTACTTATAAACACACACACAAAGTAACTCCACCAGAGTGCCTATTTCGGGTCACTTTTGCCGGTCCAAGCCCGGGTAAAGGAGCAGGGTTGGAATTGTGACATTAAAAAAAACAATAATTGCTAAAATAAATTTAATTTGTAGTTCTAAATAAACTCTAAATGCATTTAGGATGTTTTTTACTCACTTTATGTCCCTTAAATGAAATATCTACTTTTGGAAGTTGCCCCGTTGTCATCCGTTCTCGTAAAGTATAACCAAACTTTTGAGCGTTTGAGCCGCTTAGGTACCATGTTTCCTGCCAGGTAAATGACGCTCCGCAACGTGGTGACGTCATTTGGGGTGACTGAAATTGAAAAGGGAATCGTTTGCAAAAGTGGCAAACAATTCCAAGGAATTGAAACAGTGGGAACCGGTTCTCAACAAGAACCGGGTTTCGATACCCATCCCTAGTGCACAGCGACGTTGGCATGTCAGTCAGTGTTTAAGCATATTTTTTGCAGTACATTGAGTTCATGTAGTTTTGTAGAGTCAACAACCAAACAGTTGTTCTACATGGAGATGCAGACATGTTGAGATGATAAAAGTTTGTCAGCTGGATTTAACTTTTCTGTTTCTATCAAAGCATTTCTGAATGTGCGAGGCCTTTTATGGTCAGTGCTACAAAGCAATGAATATGACTTTTGAATGATTTTTGCTATTCAGTGAGTTAGTCATTCTTTCATGTATTGATTTTTTAAAATCATATTGGTGAAAATATATTTGCACCTTTTTTCTTTGGCTTTTGATTTAAAAAATTATACTCTAAATCACAACATAGCACTTCTATGTAGGGGTCACTGATGGGTATGATCAAGCCACTAAATGAAGTCGCGTCTTTTTGAAGAGTGGTATTTGTAATGTTTTGGAGGCTGTGCATACGTAGGGTTTTCCTTTGAGGGTGAGAATTGACATTGACAGAGGCTAAGAGAGGGTTTCTGGAATCAGACCGACAGCAGACTGCACACTAGAGATGTTTGTCACAGACAGTGACCAGCTTCTTCACCGTTGTCTTACTATTAACACAATCCTGCGACATTTTAACTCAACAAAAAGTGTTTTAAAAAGGGAGCAGCACCAGTATCCAAGCTGTCTGTTGGCTGGCCACGTCTAATATTCTGATCTGTGTGGCACAGAAAAAAAAACGTGAAAATGTGAACACACAAGTACAGCCGCACACACACACAGACCAGATAAGATGTTCTTTTGTGCAAAAGTGCCTATTTTCTCCATCTCCTTTAATGGCGTTTCCTCCAGTCTGAAACCTTTTGATTTCATCTGCTTCTCTGGCTGTTTCCACGCCACGTTTGTGCACACATGCAAGTTTAACTCTGTGTGTGTGTGTGTGTGTGTGTGTGTGTGTTTGTGTGTGTGTGTGCGCGTGCATACTTGTCAGGTTGGAGATTGCAGTGTTGATTATGTGTCTGATGTTGTCGACGGAGTGACATCCCTTCTAATGAAATAATGGTCTAGTGCCAGAGTGGTGGAGGATTGCACATTGTAGACCTCAATTATAGACAAGATTTTTTTCCCTCCTGTCAGAAAAAAAATACAGGTTTTTCTTTCCTTTTAACACAAGTGCTTATAACAAACAAAATGCTAAATAAAGGAGTTACTTGGGTCTAAGTGATTTTTCTTTAGATAATGGATAGAAAGGACACAGAATGCCTTAATTCACCATCTCTTTAGCCAATCTGATGCCACAAAACAGCTATTGCCCTCACTATGTGCCGAAATCAGCCACAGCAAACTGGTTGTTTTCCAGTCCACACTACACTTTTTTTGTTTGTTTGTTGTTTTTTTTTCGGTGCTCTTGTAATGTCCCCTCTTTTCTTTGAGATGGATTTTACTCTGCTACATGCATTATCCTGTGAGCCGTGTAATTTATTTTGCACAACAAATGATCTTTTTAAGCGTCCTATTTTCTGCTGTGTCCCTTCTAAAAGCTGCTGTGAAATTAGTATATATTTTCTTCTTTTAAAAAAATCAAAAGTCTTGTTTTGAGGATACTTTATATTTTATCACAAACGGGGAGAAGATTTTCAGATGGTCATTTTCAAAATTGTAAATTGAATAAATAAAAATCAGGTTTGACTACTTTCAATTTCATTATTTTTTATTTTTTGTTAATGACAAGGTAAATAGAAATTTCTTGAGAAAGTCTAAGCTCAGGTCCTACAGACAATTCAATTATTATTATTTTTTTTAATAGACGGTAATGTGTCTTCAAACAATCTCAGTATGTAGCTATTGTCACAAATGGTGGCAAAATGTATCAAATCACCATTTGTGACAACAGCCACACACTGAGATTGTACTGCGATCAATATACTGACTCTAATTAATCACTAAATAGTCTTTGGCAATTAATTCAGTTACTGAAAAAGAGCTAGTCAGGTCCCAGTCAGTCATGTAATGCAGCTTTAGTGACGACAACTTTCTCTCTGTCTTTTTCAGGGTGGACCCTATTCCGTATGACACTCCCAAGCCAGCGGGACACACCAGGTTTGTGTGTGTTTCAGACACACACTCGCGTACAGATGGCATCCAGATGCCCTATGGCGATGTGCTGTTGCACATGGGTGACTTCACTGAGCTGGGCCTGCCCTCTGAAGTTAAGAAGTTCAACGACTGGCTAGGTACTGAACTACTTAACCCACATGCTCAGTACAGCTGTTCTAGATTCATGCATTGTTTTTCTCTCTCACACAAACACGTACAAATGCAAAGTCTCTAAAGAGCAGGAGGCAGGGCCTGAAGCATGTTTAACTGTTAACCAGACAACACAATGAACCCCTCTGCCTCCCCTCTGTTTAGCCCCAACTGCTGTGCTAAAGTGTCCAGTTTAACCCCTTTGACCTAACACCCTGGATCAGTTAACCTTTCACCTCTCCCTCTGGCCCCATGCTGTAGGTAAATCTTTAGCTTTCATGTGTGTATGTGTTTTCCAAGTTGTGTGGTTTCACAACCGTTAGCCAGTGCTTGGTTTGTGGACCCATGAAACCATTTTTGGCCCCATGTTATAGACATGTTTCACTCAGTAGAAGCACACACGCTCCATGCCTGTGCCTCTCACACTCTAAATCAGTAGGTACCACTAACTAGACTGGGCTATAGTACTTCAGGATTTTTAATTATTTTTTTCTTTAGTTTTAACTGTTTGCATTTGTCTGTTGATCAGCCAGAACAGTGTCCTGAAATTACATTTAACCTTTAAGCTTTATGACTGTGTGGCTTACACGTTCACACACACCCTGGTCTCCCTGGTTCAAGACCAGGAGGGGACTCAAGCTGAGCAGCTGAAAGAATCTTTAAATTTTGATTGCAGTCCCTGAGCATGCAGAGTGAAGACTGCTGAAGGAAATTGTTTGACGAATTGGAGTCCCTCACAAGCTCTTATGTTCTGAACTGTCACACAGAGACAATTCACGATGTTGTCAAGCCCTACATAATATTTCTGGCCGGAGGGGTTTAATAAACGGCCTGCAAAATCAGTTCATGAGCAAAAAAAAACCAACTCACTTTGTGTTCAATCAGCGCATATCGTTGATTTCAGTAGTTTGATCTGTGTGCTGAAAAGTGGACGGAAAATGGAAAATGTTGAACATGTGGCATTGGTGGTGGTGTTATTTAACTGTAATGAAAACAACGTTTAATTTTAGAGAATAAACATTGATTTATTTTTTTTTAAAGTTGATTTATGAACCTGTCACGACTTATTTTCATATTTTCAGAGTGGAAACCTTTAGCTTGTAAACCTTTTGAAGTAGTACTCCTCGAAATCTGTGTTTTGAGTTTCAAACACTTTGCCCCCCTGTAGAGTTGAAAGGTGGCTGTCAAAGTTGTGCCTCTCCAAAGATGACAGGGGCTGCAGTCAGTCTGCTTTCACTGCATTTACAGTGGATTCTAGCACTGACCCAATTTTCACAGCCAAATAAAAATCTGGTTTACAGAAACTTCTCAACCCTTTCCTGCAGCATGATGCACTTCTCCAACACTCTGTATCCATTTTTTAATTCATTTTTAATAGAGTTTGGCTGAAAATGCATTTTCATTTCACTCCTAATACACAGTCTTGTTGAGTTCACAGCCTACTGCTCTTATACTCCATGTAACATGTAACACATGACTGCAGATACATTGCAAATATTTTTATGGACCAGGGTTACTTTCCTGTCACTGTGTCAGTCCACACTAAGATTTTTTTTTTTTTACCTTGGTGTGTGTGTGTATATATATATATATATATATATATATATATAAAATATTGCTAGACATGATGAAGAGGAGAGAGGACTTTCTACACTGAGACGCATCTTAAACAGTTCAAACTATAATGTGAAAGGCTGAATGTGAGTGTTGAAAGTTCAAAACCTGCTGCAAACGTTAAAAGTTGGTCAGGGCTGATAGAACACATTTAAACCTTTAAAGTCTGCATTTTCAGCTTTATGAATTCTGAATGTGATTGGTTGTCAGTCACAGTAGTACGCCCACTTTGCCAGCTTGACTCTTTAAAGTACTCTCAGGTGCTTTGCCCTTAATTACCCTGAAACGTGCGCGTGCGCGCGCGCACACACACACACACACACACACGCACATCATACATGCACTCATACCAAAAAAAAGAACAGACACTAATGCTGGCTTTTACACGTCCCTTTTCTTTCCCCCTTAAACAGCACCTGGCCCCACCAGGAGGTTGTCCATCAACGCAGACAGTCAGTGCGTGTGTGTCTTCGTGTGTGTCTGCGTGTGCAGACGTGGTTGTGCGCTTTGTTCATCCAGAGTGAAAACAGAGATATTTGCCATAATGGGGAATCGATGCAGAGCAAAGTGGAAAATGACTTTGTGTAGTTGGGAGCACCCTGCCTGCTAATGCCTCATAGAAGACTGTGTGTCTGCAGACTATACACCTGGTCCTCCAACTCAAATGACTGATGTAGAGTGGAAGAGGTAGAAAATGGCAATGGGGTAGTCTAGCTGCTTGTTGGAAAAAACCTTTAAATAAATGAATTTAGTTTTCGGCATCGTTACACTTTTACATAATTAAATTTAAAATGGAAACTATTTGATTGTGCTGTATTATTTTTTCTTTTTTTAATCATATTTATCATTTGCTCTTCAGATGACACACAGGTCTCTGCAGCCTCCACAATGAGAGAAATGTAGTTTATTTATCTTGTGGCTCTTTCATTTCTGCTGTTAGCTTTACATGGCTAACAGCTTCGAATGAATGTGAACCAAGTACTTGTCAAAGGTTTGATATTGGCTTAAAGGTCACCTTTGGACCTTGTTGATGTAGCAGAGTTTCAGAGAGTGAAAGTGAGACCAGGAGACTAGACCGTCTTTTACATTTGTCAGGCACAGCAGTTCAGTAATTGTTTTCAGTGTTTCTCAGGGTGAAAGATCCAGATTAAAATGTATGGAATGTTTGCCAGGTCAACACAGTTGCGTAACACAGTTTAATTATTGGGCAGAAGCGGCGTCCTGCAGGTAGGTATCTTAATGGTACAAAGCATTATTGAAGCTGAAACTGGGGAAAAACTAGGGCTGGGCGATATATTGAGTTTTTTAAAAATATCGATATATTTTCATACGAGATATAAAATGTGACAATATCGTTTATATCGATATAGTCTATGTTACGTTATGATTATACTTGTGGAGCCGCAGGTTTGCCTCTCTTTCGTCCACTTTTGTCTCTACGCAACGTTACTCGGCCTCGCCTCTCCTTCACTGAACACAACTCCGCCTCCCCCATAGCTTCACCTGCAGGCAATGACAAGATGAAAGCGGAAAATCTCCGTTAGCGAGTTACCGTGCGTGGGGCTGGACAGCGTCAACGTGTTAGCGAGCTAACCGCGCTAACGACATGCAGCCAGGAGGGGCTGCACGGCCTAAAATCCTTTCATTTTCTCAAAAATCGACAGTGCGCCTTATGTATGAATTCTGGTTGTGCTTACTGACCGCGAACCGATTTTATGTGGTACACAGCGCTCAGCAATCTGTCAAAAAATGTTTTAATATGACTTTGCTAAGCTACGGAGCTGCACCGCTTGATGGATTGTCAGAGGATTACGGCTACCGAGGAGGAGCCTCGCGGAGTGATACGTACTGTGTGTGTATAAGGACCACAAATGGCACCTGTTCAGAGACGTGGTGCAGCTGTGAAATCTGTCTCTTTGTTATTATGCTCAGCGTCTATTAGTTTACATTTTGACTGCACAATTGTGAGCTTTTTGTTATGCACAAAAACAACATTGTTTTCTTTTATTTATGGACCATGATTATTTAATAAATGCTGATAATTTATTTTTGAGTAATTTCTTCATGTACATCTACGCTGTATGTAAATAAAAGTGCCCGTGTGACATCTGGGACACAGTGTGACTAAGAACTCTCTTTTTGTTCTTAACTTATGGCTTTAAAAAAAAAAATCGAGATATACATCTTATATCGCCATCCAGCTAAAAAATATCGAGATATGAATTTTGGGTCATATCGCCCAGCCCTAGGAAAAACAGAGGTCTCATCAGATAAATCTGAACAGATTTTCTGTGATGGAGGAGGAATTTGTTGTAGGTGTGCAGCTTTTTTTTTTTTTTGGAAAAGTCTGTGCCGCCTCATCTATCTGCTCCTCTCACACTACAGAGGAGACAGCAGTTTGTCCGGGCCATCGACTGCTGTTTGGCCTCTTGGAGGAGATCATTGGAGATCGATGCTGAGAAGCAAGATCTCCCTGACCCGGACTGTCTGATGGCTGAGCATTGACTCTGATCTCCTACTTTAAGCTGCTCCCAAGCTGCTCTGTAGTGTGTGTGTGTGTGTGTGTGCGCGCGCATTTGTGTGGGTAAAGAATAAATCATTTGGCCCAACTTAAAAACGTACAATCACCTCAATTACCTAATCAAGCTGCAAAAAAACAAACAAAAAACCCAAACATCTCCAGTTTTTCTCAGTTGTGCTTTTTCCCCCCTGCTAAACAGCATTTGAGGTCATCATCTTAGAGATGTAAAATATCCACATTTTACGCCTCCAGCACACACATAGCATCATTAGCATTCATTAATGTTTTTTTCCCTCCAACGATCACAGGATAAATGCTTTCATTTGTTTGTTTTTTTGTGTTTGGTTTCTTTGCTCTGTTTTGTTCTCTACCAATGGTGGAGATTCAAAGAGAACCCAGTGAAAATCAATAAGGAATCGAATTGATAAGTCATATTGCTAATGCAATTCGAATCGCTAAATTCTTCTTCATTCCCATCCCTACTTATGCACCTCTTTATTTTATTTTATTTTTTTTTTATTTTTTTTAATTTGTAGGAATTTCAAAGACACTTCTTTCACCTTGTCATTATAGGATATTGTGTGTAGGATTTTGTGGTGAAAACTGAATTTAATCCATTTTGGAATAAGGTTGTAACATGACGCTGTGTGGAACAAGTGAACCACAGTGAATTCTTTCCATATAGACTGTATCTACGAGTAGGTCAGCGAGGCTATAGTTAGGACAAGCTCCACTGCAATCAGACACTGGGGTTCAATGATGTCAGTCCATTGTTTGTTTTCTAGTAATTAACAGTTGCTGGGAAGCTTTTGATGCTGGATTGTCATCATCTCTATTCACTATTTTCTCTTCTCCATGTCTTACCTCACTGACTACACACTGCTCTACCCTCCAGCTCACTCACACACACACACACGGTGACAGTAGAAGAGTCAAACTATGAAAGGGACTAGCATGATCAAAAATGACTAAATTCATCTCAAAATATATGGAAGTAAGTAGGTAAATAATGTTAATGAGGTCGGTGGGTTTTATATATCTTTTTTCTTTGGCTTCTTACTAGGAAGGCAGACCACTGGAGTGTATTCTTGCCGGTCATGTTTACTGACATAGGCCAACTCTGAGCTGAAACCCTGATATTTAAATATCTAGATACTGACTATTGAGTGAATGTTTGTTTTGTTAAATAGGGGTATATTTTTTTGTTTCGGCTCTAATTAAAATAGATTTTTAAATACAATTGCATAGCTTGATTACTCTGCATGTCTTAAGGGATGAATTTATAGAAACAGACAAAAGGATGATTTATTAAACTCCTATTCAACCCTGGCAAAGTGTGTATTTTTAGTGTTGCACTGTGGAAAACACTTTCTAAATGAAATGTTTTTAATGTGCAGATGTCGTCTTAAATGTCTCGTCTGCCTCTTTGAGAGGTATGACAAAACATTTCAGTGCTTCGTTTTCTTCAGAGTTTTGTTTTGATCTTTGTACTCTCCTTCATACCTCTGGCTGTCGGTGAAGAATGAAAAATAAATCCAGGTGTATCACAGCATCAGGACTCTGTTAGATGTATCACGGTAGCAATAAAAAGCAGTAGAAATTCCCAGTGGAGTAATGGAGACGGAGTTTGGTGGTAATTATGTTTTCCCCAGATTTTCCCTGCCTGGTGTCGGATGATTCGCTTTGGGTTTTGTGTGAGCGTACAAATGGATGCGTGATCCAGTTAGAGTGCTGGGGGACTGAGAGACGGCGCTCTCATTTAAGTTTACACTGGAATTTATGATCCCGAGATGCATCGAGAGCTAATTTAGAGCAGCGGGAATGAAACCTATAGACCGGGGAGCCATGATTCTTTCATTTCCAGTATTAGAGAACACACATACTCTTTTCCAGACATGCGCGCACGCACACACACACACACACACACACACACACACACACACACACACACACAGACAGTTGAGCTGGATGTGGCAGACTTTTTGTTTGTCTTGAGCTGATGTCTTTTGATTGAATTTTTATTCTCTTGCATTCACTTTCTATTAGTTTTAGTTCCAGTTTTGGTCTTTGCCTCTGCAGAAATTGAGCAATATGCTCAATTTTTTTTCTTCCACTTTCCGTTATGAATCCAAACCAATTTTAGTCAATAAATACTCTTTATTGGACTTTTTATTCAGCATTTTATTCAATTTATCCTCTTCGCTTGCATCACAGCATTCCTCTATAAATGGCAACACTTAAAACAAAGCACAGAAAAGCATTTTACACAAAACCGGGATCACCTACCTTCCTGTCAAACTCCATTTTTATAGATGGATATAGACATCTCACTTATAAAACTGTAATAGCACTGTAGTGTTACACACACTGAATTTCTACCATTTTTGTTACTGAGCATGTTTAGCAGATCTCCTAAAGTCAGCTTAAACCTGCTTGAATACAAACCTCTGTCTTCATCTGGACGACCAAGGGATGCTGGCTGCATTTTGTGTGTGTTTCATCTCATATTTAGACTGTGTAACATCTGCAATTACACAACTCCTTTTCTTTTGAAGTTCCATATATTAACGTTCACAGCTTGTTAAATTGTGTATGCATTATGAAACAAAAACCAGACTCGTACCTTGTTGCAGAAGGCCACTACAGTACCAGGTATGAACAGTCACTCTTTGACAGAACTATATGGCATGACAGCCAGCAAGTGTGGCAGCGTGTGTTAAGAAATGTACTTAAGTAATCAGGATGAATTCATTAGCATACCAACAAGTCAGTATTCATTTTATCCAAACCTTCCCACTAAAGTAGATCCAATACCTGACAGAATGCGCTTGGAAATGATTGAAAATTAATCTGGAAGGATGTTAATAATTGATTTATAATTTGTTAAGCAGAAATGCCAAACATGCATTAGCTTAGACTCGCACGTCTGCTTTTTATTATTTGATACTGAGCATAAAATGTTTGGATTTTGGAGGTTGGTGTAACTAAACAATGGAACTTGTTGAAAGACTTTTTGGCTAAAGAAACATTGTCTAACATTTTGTAGACCAAACAGTTTTTAGATAATTCAAGAAAATCCTAGGAGCTTAATCCGTTATTTTAAAACAAAAATCATTAGCTGTGGTCAGATTGTGTGTTTTAACAGTGTTTGGGGGCGGCAGAGTACTACCGCTCCCTCAGAGCTCATTCTTCTCATGGCTTTTTCTCAACTGACTATACAAAATGAGCCTGCATATTAGTCTATACATATTCCGCAGGGCATTCAAGAAGACAAAGGAAGGAGGACTGGAGCAAGAGCACCAGGAAGCCTAAAATACAGAATCCAGGAGGGGGGGGGGGGAAGAGAAATATAGAGAGTGAGTCGAAGGGTGATGAAGGCCAGGCCCTTTTGTTGAGTGCTCAGTCGGCTGGAATAAAGTAGTAAGTCAGTTTCTTGATGGCGAAGGGGTACCAGGACAAATCACCTCGACAGAGGAGAGCGAAAAGGGCACAGCAGAAGTTGAAAGATGAGGGGATGAGAATTGTAATAGATGTTCTTCGCTATTTAGTTCAGGTTCATGCCTTTTCCAGCTGCCTGGCATCTACAGAGATAGAGGGTAGTCTGTTGGGGTCAAACTGAGCCGTCAGCTGTGGTTGTAACCTCTTTGACTGTCTGAATTGAGGGTATTTTTCCCTCCAATTATCTGAGTTTCTTTCCAGCCCTGATCTGTACTCAGGGTTAGGTATACAGGGAGCGATTGAGGGAGTGTATTCTTTATATACAAACTATTGGGATAAACTGCTGTTTCTGTAGAGAGAGAGTAGGTGGAAAATACTTACAGCTACTGTGTGATTTTTATAAAATGCTGTTCAGCCTTAAACTGCTCGATATAGATAAATTAACAGCCTTTAAAAAAACTGCTAAATCTGATTTGACTCAGAACACCTTATTCGATCTAGGGACTGGAGGGCAAACTCTAAGGCAGGGTACACAAATAACGTGCCAAGCCTTGGTGTATGCCATGCTTGTATAACTCCCATGAATTAAAAAAAAAATTTGGTCAAAAGAAAAAAGGTTTAAACTTTTCTCAGTTTAAGTGAACTTTTTTTAATGTTTCTTTCATTTCTCATTGATTTAATATTGCAGAGGGGCACTAGGAGAGCAGCAAAGCTAGTTTTAAAGAAAGTGATCCAGATCAGCATCAAAAGTTAATGAGTTCTCGCTTTGTTTGGCCTCCACCTCTCCTGCAAGTTTCTCGAAACTTGGTTTAGTGGTTTGTGTATAAACCTTGATGCTTCTCAGCCTCTGCTTTGGCAGAAGAATAATATTAAGGCTGAATCACGTATTGTGCTCATAACAGAGATCTGCAACTGAAGGACACAGGATATTAAAGCCTTTGATAAAGATCTGTACAGAAACGTGCAACAAATCAATTTCAAAGGATCAGATCAATTTAAATGTTAGCCATACTCTGACCTTTAGGTCTCTTTAAGTTTTTACTTTTGACACTATAATGCTGTCGACCAGTGATGTGAGAGGATGAGAGGCTCTCTTTAGATTGCATCTACAGGAATAAAAAGACTAAGGTCATTATTAGAGTTTTAGCTCTAACGTCCAACTTGCCATAATAAGCAAAACTCTGAGAGATCTATCTCACTATTTCTTAATTTTTTTTGGTCAAAAATATACCACAAAAGTCCCATATCACTACACTTAGTGTTTCGGAAGTGCTAAAAATGTCTGAGGAAGGCAGTCTTGCCTATCGAGCCCCCGAAAACAATTCCAACCAGAGCTTAGTGTGTAGATTTATGTGTGGATTTGGGACTTCAGCTCACCATCCTCTCCCTGGCTTCTCTTCTATCTTCTAGGTGGCCTACCGTATGAGTTTAAGGTAGTAATCGCGGGGAACCATGAGCTGACCTTCGATAAGGACTTTATGGCTGAGCTGGTCAAGCAGGATTACTACCGATTCCCCTCAGTGTCGAAGCTCAAACCAGAGGACTTTGACAATGTCCAGTCACTGCTCACAAACTGTGTGTACCTGCAGGACTCAGACGTCACCATAAAGGGATTCCGGATATACGGGACACCATGGTAAGAGTGCCACCTGTTTACTTTTTTTTTTTTTTTTTAAATGACTAAAACTGCTCTCCTCACTGTCTAACTGCTGAGTCACGTTTCTGTCTCATCGTGCTGTGGATCCCTGAGGTGACAGTATGCCTTCTCCAAGTCTGTCAGTTTCTGGCTGCTTTCCAGCTACTCGCTGCAGTAACTCTGTAGTCTGCTGCACGCTCACAGCAAGGGGCCTCTCGTACATGCAGAGCGTTATTCCCAGAACGCACATTCCTTTATGAGCTCAGGACCTTCGCCTGCTCCTCGTGCTTATGTTACACCTGTGTTTTGACACAGGGTTAAGTGATACGTGTGGTACCAGGACGCTGTGAATAGCCTCTCAGGTGTGGAAGTAATGCTGGAAGGGGAGCACGTTGGGTACGGAGATGGTGTGAGAGGCGTTCATTCAGCAGACGACTGCAGAGGGGAGTTCTTCTTACAGTGAGAAGTGTGTGCGCAAAGAGTTGAGGATGAAGAAAACTCTCCTGAGATTACTGCTGAATCTACTGTTGTACTTAGTAGTAGCATTACACTGTCCCGTATTTATTTATTTTTTATAAATATTCATATAAAGCATGGATTTTTGCACCATGGAAGTAGAAATCCACGCCAGATAAGGATTTGTTATGTGCGTGTTTTATTTTAATACTTATATTTCATATTTTTAAAGAATGCTATCATCCATTCGCTAATTGATTTTAAGAATTTATAGTTCTCTGGAGGAGATCTTTTAGGAAGGTGAAACTTAAAACACACACACCATACATAAAACCTGATTAAGCCGAATGGTAAAGCAAATATATTTAATATATGCTATATTAAATGTACATCTATATGAAAGCAGCGCCATAACGTACAACCTGCAGTAAATCTAATCATCGGTCATCTCTGCTTAAAACATCGCCACACTCATCCACCCTTGAGTTATTTTTTTCAGTGATTCACTCCATAGAAATGTCCATATGTGTCTGTATCTGTTAATCTGATAATTAACTAATTATTTTAGTCTTAAATTAAAACAAATTATCAAATTTAATCTAATGAATCCCAGAAGCTGCAGTTTTGTCCTGGTGATCTTGGACCACTGCTCCTTCTTTGCCAGTATCCTGTGTCTTAAGGTCCTTTTTATTGAGCTATCTGATCCATTTGCCTTTACTTGATAAGCCAAATAGAAAGAAACCTCTGTAGCTCAGTGTGAGCTGCTGTCATCTCCCAGTATCTGAACAGTCTTGCAGTCTGACCTTGGCTCGCCTGCACTGCAGCTGTGTGTCTTGCTGTGTGACAGTTTAGGCTGGAGCTTTCCCCGTCCTGCTGTGACTGTCTCTGCTCTCTTTGCACAGCAGACCTAAAATAACTATTGAGGTCACACGTTCATCCTTTAGCGGCTATAATTAGCAGGTTTGCAGCCTGGCTTCAGAAGTGGCAGAGGAGAGTGGCAGGGAAGAGGCGGGGGCAAAACGCAGCATTCCTCAGACATCACAGGAGCAGGAAGATGAGATTACACTCTTTTTTTTTTTTCTCCCCTCCGTCCTTCCTCTATTCCATCCCTCTGTTTGAAAGGGGAAGGATGCTACCCCTCCCCTTCTCCCTGGTGGGTGTTTAGTGTGAGGCCTGGTAAATGTCTGTTGTGACAGCTGGGGGTCTCGTGAGAGGCCGAGTGGACAGCTTGGCCTCCCCCCCCCTCACCTACTCCTGCTCAGCTTCCTCAACTCCTTCACACCCATATGCCACCGTGGCCTGAGGTCTGGACTCCTTGTCCAGTGTGAGGTCTCACTTAGCCCTGCAGTGACCCCTCACTTCATCAACAGCTCGCCATCTCGCCGCCTGGGTGGCCGAGCCCCTCCGAGCCTTCAGCGGTCTGCTGCTACAGGCCGGGACCCGACAGCATCACTCGGGAAATGTAGCGTGTAACAACCACCTGATAAATGCGGCTCGGGGTTCAGTCGTCCTCTAAGCTGCTGCTGCTGCTACTGCTTTAAAAGCAAGTTGATTATGTTTACATGAGTGAAAACCTGATGTGAAATGAATATTCAAACCTGAACATCCATCAAAGCAGTCAGAGCCACAATAAAGATCTTTGCTAAGAAAATGTTTTTTTTTTTTCTAAATGTCCTGTTCAGGTTGTTACAGAGTAAAACGCTGAAGGTGCACAAGCAATTTGAAAGTACTCACTGTAAAGAAATTAACACTGTGCTTCTGGCTCTCTTCCGCAACCTTCCTTCACACCCAACCATTTTCAGCAGCTAGCTGCCCTCCCTAAACCACCTCCTGCTTTAACGGGTTTCTTCTTGTTAAAAGGGAGTTTTTCCTTCCCACTGTTGCCAAGTGGGTTGTCTCGATTGTTGGTTTTTCTCTGTATTATTCCAATCTTTAATTTGCATAAAAAAGGTCCTTTAGGCAACTGTTGTTGTAGTTTGGCCCTATACAAATAAAACAGAATTGAATTGAAGTGCTATTTATCAATCTTTATTTGTCACTATTTTCCAGATCTTAGATAATTACATGCCTGAGCAGTGAACATTTTGTACCACTGCAGGTTGTACTTGTATTGTCTGAACTAACCTCTCCAGTTTTGGGTGGTTTAACCAGAGAAATTGTTTTATTGAGCATCTGTTTTCATTCATTTTCTTAAATGTCCCTGAAAATACAGTTTGTGGTGCTTACCTGTGGTGTTTGTGTCTTTTGGTGTGTGTGTGTGGTGGGGGTGCAATTAGTCTCAGATAAATGATACTTTCAGATATCATGCCTTTTAGATATTGCAGTTTTCCCATATATGTTAATAAATAGGCATTTGTTCATATCCCCAGTGACCTATTTTAAAAACACGTGAAATGTCGCAGCCTTAATAATAATAATAATAATTATTGCTGCAGCCTTGTCTAGTTAAAATATATGTATTGTTAACGACAGGTACAAAAAATGATCGGAAGGCAGTCTGGATGTTTCTTGTGATTCTAACTTCTGTTTTCAAAGCTTGTTTGCTCCGAGAAGAAAAACCTGATTTTTAGTTTTTGAGTCCACTTACCTCTCTCTGCATGTAAGATGAAAGAGCTGATTGTTTTCACTTTGAAGGCCTGGCCTGAAAGGAGACGCTACCGGTAGACTGCAGCGAAACTGCCAGCGAGCGCCAGCCAGACTCTGTCTGTCTCTCTCATCATGGTCACCTAAATGCACAGTAATGGCAGGTTTTGTAATAAGGCAGATTGCGCTAACATAATATGCACTGTTAGTTGATTATTTACCTGCCGCATTAACGGGAGAGGACGTGCAAACGTTACCGCTGCTGCTGGGTTGAGATTCACGAGTCCGGAGCGGAATTAAAAACACGACATTCATTTAAGGTTATCGCGTGTTTTGTGAGCAAATGCTTTTGCATATTCGTAGTGTTTCCTCCCTTAAATGAAATATCTACTTTGCAAGTATTGCAAGTTGCCCTGTTGTCATCCGTTCTCGTAAAGTATAGCCAAACTTTTGAGTGTTTGAGGCGCTATGTTTCCTGCCAGGTAAATGACGCTCCGCAACATGGTGACGTCATTCGGGGCGACTGGAATCGATAAGGGAATCGTTTGCAAAAATGGCAAACAATTCCAAGGAATTGAAACAGTGGGAACCGGTTCTCAACAAGAACTGGGTTTTGATACCCATCCCTACTTAATAGTTACTATATACAGTAATGGACTTCTATACATTTTACATCAGATTAATTCTTTCAGTGTAAGATTCAGATAATTATTTATTAAAAGCTAGACATTTTAAATGAGAATAAGAAAGAAAAGTATGTCTTTGTGCCCCCTTTTCCTGTTAATGCCCCCCTGGCTAAACTTTGCTAGAGCCGCCCCTGCACAGTTGGTAACTGTGCAGGTCTTATTCATGAAAATGAGATTCTACAACAGCATAATCCGTTTTCTATTTGTCTGCAGCAGGTCATTAGGTTTCCATTTGCAGTGAAAATATTTGGATCAATGACTGAAGAGCAGCTATCTGTTTTTTAATTAAGTAATATTCCCACACAAATGGATTCAAGTTTCTAATCTCCTTAAACTGAGAAGTAAAGTTTGTTCTGAACTCAGCTCTTCAGGGATAAAGGTGGATTTGAAAAAGGTCGAGCTTCACCACTGACATAGCTTTGTGGTTGCTTAATTATGGGGTAAATTTTTGCTGGCAACTTGGATCGGTCAATTAATTCCGCTAGAGTATCTGAAAAGCAGCTATGAAGGAAAAAATGCCCCAGATTTTTGATGCGTCTCCTGTGCTGCTCGTTTTATTAGTGAGGGGGAAAAAATGTATTGAGAGATGAGCAGAGATGCAAACTCCTCGCTATCATGCAGCTCCAAAGAGAAGTGAACTCTCTGTGAACTGTTATTTTTCCCACTGATATTCTGAGATCACCCCCCTCACTCTGCCTCTGATTGACTCTGACATCAAGTTTTTGTTTTTTGTTTTTTACTTTTACCATCTCACGTACTCATCCTCCTAACCCCTACAGGTGAAAATCATTATTAATAGTTATAGTTGATGTGTGTTGGTTAACTAGCTGTAGGAGTTTGGGAGGTAAATTTGTAACATAAGTCTGTGCTTTACTGAGAGGCTATAACATCTTGGCCTTCTGCAAGCTCTGTGATTTTTAGAACCACTGTACAGGTTTTATGTACTTCATAGTATTTACAAGTCAGCATGTAAAGCAGAGGTCTTTAAATTCTGCCCTTAGACACTGCCTCTTTGTGTCGGCCTTTTTCTAGCCACAAACCTTTCTTAGCTTTTCTTCCTCACTTCGGTTTCTTTACCGGACTTATTTTAAAATGAAAGATTTAAAGATTGAGCTATGAATTATAATTCATTCAATCCTTTTATTTCATTTTATCAGTATTTAGTTATAAAATTAAGTTTCTCTTCCCTTCTTGACACCATTTCAGTAAAGTCAAAAGAAACTGGCTGGCCTTCATAAAGTTGAATTGATCCTTAATCTAAGAACTCCTTCCTGC